AAATCCTTCGCTGAGGATCACAACAATCACGATGCGATCATCAAACAGACCCAACCCGAAACCATCGCAGGAACCAACGAAGGCGTGTACAACCCTCATCAGGACAAGGATCAAGTGAGAGGAGCACGGAAAGTATTACGAGACTATGAAGAGACAGCGAGCTCGATGAAGGATAACGCAACGGTGATCACCGCCGAGGAGTTCAATCAACAAGTAATCGGATTAGACGACAACTTCAAGTCTCATGTACGAGCCCCAGCAGAAGCAACGATCGACTCGCGTGCATTGAGGTTCCTCTCCGAAACAGCCTTGAAGAAATCCAAATTGTTCAAGATCGACATCAATGCATTCGATCCTGATGAATTCGTACTCAGATTCCGACAGGTCATGACCGCAAAAGCTCCGATCGATACCGTCGGCAATTCGAGCGAGGATGAGGAAGGCGCAGCAGAAGAAATAGATTGGTGTAAGGTCGGTAAGAGACTCATGCGCTACTCTCGGCGCGCACCCACCATGGATTTGATGTGAGATGCCCCCCTTTGGTTTTCTTCCAAACCGACATGCCAAGCTTCCCCTCCGCAAAAAAAGAGATTCTTATGATCTTTTGTTTCCTTAATCTTTTCGGTTTGAATTCCAGGTATGGTCCTCTAGAAATCCAGCAGAAAAAACGCAAATTGACGCAACGCGTCAAACTGGAGAAACACGAATCTGACATGAAGCAACCAGAGCTTGTATTCATTTTTCACTGTCCTCATCATCGAGAAACCTTCAGGAGAGGGAACCCTCTTTGACCGAGAAAACTGTAATCTTTTGATTGGGTCCTAGATCGATAATAATGACATCGAACGATCACAAGCCGAGATGTCTGCCCTAATTAAGAGGGTAAATATTCAATTAGAGATAACGTTATGAAACATTGGAGCTCTAGTCCCATCCTAACTTCTGATGGCCATTTCTTCTTAGATCAGTGACCTCCTTACTACCGAAGGCGGAACGAATGGCATAAATCTGTTTCAGTTTTTCATCAACCCAGGTTCATTTTCTCAATCAGTCGAGAATCTGTTTTGTCTTAGCTTCCTCATACGAGATGGCAAAGCAGCCATCGACTGTGACGACGAGGAAGGGGTGGAAAGAGAGTTTCCTGTGGTTTGTGAGTCGCGATTTCTTGTCCTACTAATGTCCCTATTCCATCTCACATATTCAGTAAAATATTAAGCTCCTCCTCCTTTTGTTTTTTCACCTCTCAGATTCAACCGAGCCCGCTGGGGCTGATGTGATTCAAGAAGACGGATTCACCAAAACTCAAATCATCTTGGAATTGACCATGCAAGATTGGCAGGATGCAATCGACCTTTATGGAATTGAGAGTAGTATTATTCCTGATCGGCCAGATGTACAAGCTACTCCCTCCAACACTAAAAAGGTTTGTTGATTTTCCTGCCTTTCATCATCTACAAACTGTGATTTGCCCCCAGACTCGAATTGATTTCCTTCTTTCACTTTGGCTCAGAGCAAATGGCACTAGATTGGTTCCAAGGCTCGGATACTTTTCTTTGCTCATAACAAAGGAACAACCACTGTTTTGGCAAACATGATACAACTTGGTATCTTGGAATGCTCGCTTTTAATTTCTTGCGCTATCAGATTGTTTCCTTTTCAGGCCAGTGTATTAATTAGTAAGCTCCCCAAAGAAAAACTAGATAGGTTCAACTCTTCTTCAAATATGTTATTACCTTTCTGTATTTGTTTTTTTCAATTAACTCAAAAGACCTGCACATTCACTTGTTTTACAGAGGAATATGATTCAGTTCTGTTGCTCATTTACATCTGATTCATACTCGGCTTGGGTTTGATTGATCAAAGTTTAAGCGGCAAGTCCGATTCATAAAACGTCAGCAGCTGCGCTAAATTATCCCCGACAGGCAGCTTCATGGCATGATCACATACTTCGGCTGCAAGAGTTTATTGGGGTATGTTTTGAGCTCGTATGGTCGTGAAAAATTTGTTACCCTTGAATCGAACTTCCTCCAACGAGATCCTATGAGAAATCGTCCCGCAAGGACCGCAGTTTAGAGAAGCTGATAGTGATCTGATCATCAGACTTCTTATGTGCAGCCAGTGCTTGGAATTGGATCACCCAAGACAAATCTCAGAGCATTCCATATTTTCTCCGTCGAGAAGAATTTGCTACGGATTATCCTTCAATCTGCAAACCACAAATTTTTGCTTTGGAATGTCGCGTATTCTAAGATAATGGTGAATTCTCTAAGGCCAACGTCCAATCTTGTGACGTGAGGCGATTCGACGTGTTTAAGTTCCTCGGGCGTTAGCTTCCTGCCCCTCTCTTGGGCGATCTGGTGAGTCAAGCTACCCGCTCTGAGGGCATTGTTTTGTGACTCTGTTTCCGCAGGTCATCGAAGTTTTCAAGCAGCCTCATCCCATCTGTTGCTTTCGTTTCCTGAGTTTTTCCATCCGAGCTCGCTCCTTCTCGCAGTTTCTCGGCCTAAAGGCTCATCTTCAGTCAGCTATGCCATCCCACGTGGCTTACCTGAAATCTCCATACGTTCACCCGTAAGTGTCGACACATCCTCATCTGCTCGAGGACTGTCTGCTTACGAGTCGCCCTGGAGTCGTATGTAGAATCCCGAGCCTCACGTTTCATACGTTTCAGTGTCCAGCGGAATCGATCCCCACGACGAAATGAAGTTGAAAGCTCCGACACTCGTCTCAGTGTACGCAGGCGCCCTGTGTCTGCTTCTGTGTGCAGTTGGAGGCCTAAGGCCCGAAACCTTCGCATGCGCCACTTGTGGCTCAGCAATGCCAGTGATTCCTGATCATAGGCTATGTGGGCAACCGTTGTTCTGCGAAACCCATGGCCGCCAAACCGGCGATGCGTGCGGGTTCCTTAACATGGGCGACTACGTGGCGTGCGGCCGTTGCAACTTCAGGTCGACCAC